CAGTTGAGATCATGAGAGAAAGAGTTCCAACAGTTTGATTACCACTGATGTTAAAAGCGTGTAACTATATAGATCAATATAACATTAGCTCTAGAAATGTTAGATTTTGTATAAAGAAAACGATTTTTTTCTCTTGGAAAATGCCTGTAACTTTTTGACGGAGTTGTGCGCGGTCTTATTTTGATTAGAGACGTTTCCTGTACAAATCTATCTGTTCAGAAAAATTTTAATTGCATACGTTTCCAGGAAAAAGCTATTATTTGATGACCCGGTTTTTCAAGGCTCCTAGAAAACTTGCTCAAAATCCCCGAAAAACCAGTTTTGTAACTAAAAGCAATACACATTCTGGAAGTAGATACTTCCGGCTATCGTTCCATGTGCTTATGTCAAAACCGATTTTTTGACCGAAAATCACCATTTCTAAGGGGTGTCCTTACGCAAAATAACAACTTGTTGAGCACATGTACACCACTTATTTAGGTCGACTCGTTGGCATTGTTCGACTGTATAAGTTTGGATTTCCCGGTAGAAAAAAGCCTCGTGAATCCGGCAGTATAAAGAATTTCTCTAAACTACGAATATAACGGGGGAAAAGTTTTGTTGAATCTACCACTCGTAATTAAGACGCAATGGTTAAAATTGAAATCATAAAACTGGAATAAATATTATACAATATTAGTATTAGAGAATAGAAAAGAGTGACGAAAAAAGAAAGGAACTCGTAAAAACCCTATATAAAAAGAGTAACCCTACGGAGGCGTTAAACAATTCACACGATTTTCGTACAATTTCACGTTCAAGATAGACACCTTCTACTAAGAACTAGATGGAAGATGTGTGTTCAAATGCTTAATGACTTCTTATATATAGTTCCGTAAGAATATAATCACGTCGAGCATCTAATAAAATATGTCTGCCTTGTTGCTCCAGAACCTCACTCTTTTCTATTCTATAATATTCGTATAATATTTATTGCAATTTCCCATAAGAGGAAACTAAAATAGTGATATACTTGTTCTAGTGTAGAGGAATTTAAAAGTCTCCTATAGAAGAAATTAAGATTTTACTTTGTCTTAGAGGAAATCAAAATAAACTATTTTTTTTAAAAGACGTTAAAAGTAACCCTATTTGAATTTGCCCGACATGTACATCCTAAAGACGAAAAAATGAGAAACAGACGCATCAACATATTTTGCCGATCAGGAGGAGAGGACAAAAACTGAAGCAACCAGGATTTTTTTGACGATGCAATGTACAATAATCACCAGTTGTGTGAAAACACGGAGATCGTGCTCAACGTCTGTGCGAATAGCATGTCCCAGTTCTATTTTGTTATGCCCTTTTTTTGTTATTTCATGTTCTACTTTCTATTTCTCACCTATAGTCTCACTACTAGGTTTCCTGTTTGTTGTTTTCTTGTTACTTTTGTCTAACCTCGTTTAATGAACACCTTCTCAATGAACTTCTTTGGTAGACTTTTGGGCTTATAATGCACCGAAGTGAGAGAGGTCTTCCTTTTGACTCAGACCACGACAAGAGGAGCGTCATACCCGCTAGACAATACAGATATGTAGAAAAAACTAGAGCATATTGCGAATGTCTCAACACCGTCAGAACTGAATTGGGAAATTGATTCAAAAGCATCCATCTACCGATACCACTTCACACGATCTGCGAGCACCACCAGTCTGCTTTTTTGCTTGCATTCGCGACGCGAGTCGCTAAAACGATTCGTGACCGGACGGCGTAACGCATTCGCTGCAAGACTCGCGATATAAAACGCGATTTGTTTTGTCGCACTCTAACAGTAACCATACGACATTTTAGATTGTCATAGCGCGACCACGGTCCATCTGCTATTGTTGCGTCACGACTCTTATTTACGCGACTCTCGAAAACTTCTTTCTGGTCTTTGCTTTGATTTAGAAATAAAGGAACGGAGCTATCGAGAAATGTAATTCGTCTAGTATCCCATTTTTTAACTGATGCACTATATTTTTCTCGAGAACATTATACATTGAAAGCAGCACACGACAATTTGACTTTTTCTTTTTTTTAAGCTACCTTTAACTTTTGAGTTTTCAAATTAACTGAGTTACAATTATATCAGGAGTTATTAGAATGATGCTAAAACACCCAAAAGGTATTATTTTACTGGTGTTAAACCTTTAAGTTAGCAGAAGAAGCCTGTCAATACCGACTAAGAACCTAAACAAAACACCCGATGTAGGTGGCATTTAACCAATGACCCGTTCACAGCCATGACAAGCTTAATACCTTCTTCTTGTTTATCATTTCGTTTTGTGTTTTCGTTCAAAGCGTCAACGACAACATTTGGTTGCTCAACGAATTACCTCAGTCCATAGGTGATGTGTACAACTGTTCTTAAATGTGTTCTAAAAAGCTTTGGTTTGGAGTTGAACATGGTTTAATCTAGAGAAAAGTGTGAGCTACAAGGTTAGACCACTAATCGAACCAAAAATAACACCCATACTGGTATATGACCTTTTTGATCGTGAACAGTTCATAAAGAGAAAGGAATGCAGCAATAAGATATCCAGCAGACAGTAGGCTACAGACATATATACATGATGGAGATTGATTTTAGATTGATATTGCGCACAGAACTGTAGGATTTGTAGCGATGTACTAAACTGAAATGAAAGTGTAGGGGTTGAACTCACAAGCGAAAATGAAGTTTGCAGTGACGTGTACGAAGTGAAAATTTTAGATTTTTTGAAAGAGCACAAAAATTTCGAGGTAAATTGTGCGTCAGCGAAAAAATTAGAGACTGCAGGAAAATTCTAAAAAAGAAGACGTGACCTGGTCTCTTCGCAGTCGGGACGGTACAGTTTATCATGAGGTATTCGCCCGTGAAGGACACTAAACGAACCCATGGTTTACAAATAAATCATTTGATGATTATTCGAGAGACGACAGAAAAGAACTCGAAAGAAAACAGTCTCAGTCTGCATTTTCGAAAGGTTTATAATAAGAGTTGAGGTTTTTCCGGAACAGACTTACAAGTTATAAAATGCAAATGAACTAACGACAAGGTAACCAAAGAGTCACGATTATATTATGTTACATCCGTTAACCGAGCTAGTACTTATTGATCAAATTGTATGTAAACAGCCAAATGCCTTGGTGTAACCACCAGCTGTTGTGAATAGCCACCGGAATTCATTTGCTCACCACCGTCGATAAATGTAACTGACTTCATGAGTTGAACAACGATTACTTTTAATTCATACCGAGCTAAATCTTGTCCAGCACATTGTCTGTGTCCAGCACCAAATGGAATCATTGCCATAGGCTGATGATCTTTGTCATCTGTTAAAAATCGTTCGGGAAGAAATTCATTTGGATTGAGTTTCCAGTAACGAGGATCACGATGCAGGTTTTGTAACGGAATGATAATGGTGTCGCCTTTTCGAACTTCGATACCATCAAAACTGCTATCATTTTGTTCACACACACGAGCAGTTGAATCTATAATCGGTGCATAACGTAACACTTCTTTGATCACACAATCAACATAAACAAGTTGATCTAAATTACTAGTATCATCGTATTGTTTCAATTCTTGTTTAATTTTCATTTGCACTTGGGGATATTTTGACATGTAATAGATGAACCAAGAAAGAGCTGTTGATGTTGTTTCATATCCAGCGAAAATGAGTAACAAAATCTCATCCATTATTTCCTCTTTTGACAAGCCATGTTGTTCTGTTTCATCTAACGATGACAACATCAGTGATAAAAGGTTCGTTTTCTCTATCCCATCTGCTCCTTTATCGATCGGTTCATTTTCATATTCATGTAACGTTTTTAACACTTGTTGATATTTCCAATTCAATTTCAAATACAATTTAGTTATGATATCCGGTAAAAATCCAAAATACAGAGGAACAGCATAAGTATGTTGAGCAAACTCATTCACTGTGCCTGATAATTGCTGTAGTTGTTCTTCGCTGATGTGTGGGTCAAATGCGATACAAATAATGACGTTTAATAACAGTTGTTGACACTGTTCAACTAAATTTGCTTCCAATCTCGCAGGTTCACCTTTATTCTTGTGCCATTTTTGAATAATCTTATTCGTACACTGGACAATGATATCACGATAGGGCACAATTTTTGCTTTTCTAAACATTGGCAGTAAAATTTTTGCATGTCGTTTATATTTTGATTCTTCCTTAATTGAGACTAGGCCAGACGGAAGCAGAAGCCTAAAAGTAGAAGTAAATAGCTAAGCAAGATTGTATATATGACGATGACTCAATATGTATTGCACATGCTCTGAATTAGACACAGTTAAACAACGATAGCGACCAAACCCAAGGGGGAAACAGCGGACTCCAGACTTCAACACGCCAACTGACTCCACTTGACTCCAAATGACTTCAATTGATTTCAACTGACTTCAACTAACTCCAGACAAGTCATATCTGACCGAGTCTATTGGTCTTCTTTTAAAAACTTGTCATTGTTGTATTCCCATGCTAGAACAAATGTCGTGTTATGAAATTCGATTCCCAAAAACAGAACAAAGTTACTTTTTCAAGGGCGTCAATTCCCATAACAGAACCAAAAATCTGCTGGCGTGCGGATGTTTTCCCGAAAAATGGAACACTTTTGTTTTGTTCTGGGAATTGGATCCTTTGGCAGAGCAAAATGTTCCGTTTTTGGGAATAAACCATTAACGAGTTCATACTAGCTCACAGCTCAAGGGAGCTAGAGCTCGTTGAAAAGCTAATGTCCTTCGCAGTTGAAATACGCCATCATATCCCCGGAGTCCATCAGACTCCATCGAATCTCATAGGATCTTTTATTTTACCTTCTGAGTACACCACATCAGGTGACTCCACTTGACTCCAAGTGACTGCACAAGACCAAGACCCCATCTAGTCTGCTATTTCTCTCGTGGGCTCCACCCTATCACCTGATTCCACCTCATCAATTAACTCCAATGCATCAAGTGACTTCACTTGACTCCACTTGACTCCAAATGACTTCATGCGTCTGGAGTCCGCTGTTTCCCCCTTGACCAAACCAGTAATAATACAAATCACCATATTTAGATTTTAATTGTGACCATATTTGAAATATTGCTTGATCACTGTTAAATATCCCGGTTTGTATCATGTTACCGAAGAGAAATTGTGGCTTTAAATAGGGTATCGATGATGATAAGGGTCCTGTAAAATATTTATGTTTCAGAAAGAGATAAAGAAAGAAGAAGAACGTCAGAGCTAATACACACGAAGTAATCATCATGTATGTTTCCACATTATTAATACGTTGTGTCGAGCAAGGATGGGATGATAATGAAAATGGAAAGTAAAGAAAAAGCATCTTGTGGGCAAACAGCCACGTGTGTTTTTCTTGTTCTTAGCTTTTCTTCCGTTCATACATGTTATCGTAGAGGCGAATACCTATTGCATATCATCGTCATCCAATCCAGTTTCCGCTACTAATTTGTGTGTCACTAGTAGGTAGTCTGCGGACATACATAGGTACATACAAGCATTTTAACTCGATAAGATCCTTTCCTTTACGGTCAAGAGAATATATATATATATGAAACAAAATGAAACGGAAAGAAGAAGAAGCAATACGATATGCTTTTCTTTTTCTTTCAGTTTCGAAAAGAAAAAGAAAATTCGTCTTCTTTTTATTAATGATCTTTTTTTCTAAGAACTTGGTATTTCTTTGTGGCAACTTCAGCTTTATTCCTCAAGAGCTTGGTGTTTCTTAACGAGATTTATATTGTTTTTCCTTTCTGACTTGGTTTTACTTACGGGACCTTCATCACTTTTCCTCAAGAACTTGGTGGACCTTTACGGTAACTTCATCTTTTGTCTTCAGGGACTTGATGTGTCTTCACGAGAACTTCATCTCTTTTCATCAGGAGGTTGGTGTGTCTTCAGGAGAACTTGATCTGTTTTCCTGTACAAGTTCGTGTGTCTTCATTAGAACTCCATCTCTTTTCCTCAAAAAGTTGGTGTGGCTTCACTATAACTTCATCTCGTTTCCTCAAGAGGTTGGTGAGTCTTCACTGAAATTTCATCTCTTCTCCTCAAGAAGGTTGTGTGTCTTCACAAGAACTCCATCTTTTATTTTCAAGTTCCTGGGTTGTGTTCACGAGAAGTTCATCTTTTTTCCTCAAGTACTTGGTGTTTCGTAACGAGAAGTCTATGTCTTTTCCTCTAGAAATTTGTGTTGCTTAACGACAACCTCATCTTTATTCCGCAAGATCTTGGTTGTGTCTGCACGAGAACTTCATTGTTTTTCGTTAAGAACTTTGTGTGTCCTCACCAAGACTTCATCTTTATTCCTTGAGAACGTGAGGTGTCTTCAGGAGAACTTCATCTCTTTTCCTCAAGAATTTAGTGTTCCTCTGGGGGAACTTGATCTTTTTCCTGATGAACTGTTTTCGTGTACTATCAGAAACGGAAAACCCTTGAAGGATATTTTAGAGTATGAAATACCGTGTTGGAATTTTTGTTTCGTTGCTAAACTGTACACTGGTTAATCCAGTGGTTTAGCATTTGCAGCGAAACCTAATTCGTTAATGTCAGTCTTCATTCCTTTGCAACTCAAAAGGCAGCTGTTTAAGTTTCAGTCCTTTAAATTTTACGAAACGGAAAACGCAAAGGTGGCGATTTTCTAGCTGTTGAAAAACTATATTTAAAATTCCCCATAATCACAAGTGATTGAGGAAGAACGCTTGTTCTTTTTATCGATTTCGCTCAAAATGATCATTTTCTACCTGCATGTTTGAAGCATACAGAAATTTCTTTATAACTCAACTAAAATTCAATATTTTGAGGTTGGATTCATTCAGCGATAGATGTCGCGAGAAATTAGTTAACTCTGATAACACAAAAAAAGTCGTCTACGGATAATGAAACTTACAGAATATAGATAATGTATCACAGAGCCAGAACTCTGTATGGGCTAGAACTTTTTTGTGTTCATCGACTCGGATTGGACTTAAACTTTCAAGAACTTATTTGTGTTTAGAAAAAGCTCGGTTAGAAATTTTGCTTCTTTTTCTTCTTTCATCCTGCAAGGATGATCCCTAAACACCGTCTTCTTTTAAATCCCTGAATTGTAAATGTGAACTAATAAATTTCTGGGTAATTCTTTCAGTACCGTACTACCATTACAGGAAGGTTTGACGCACATGTTGAGACATACCTCATTAGACAGAGAATTTGACGCTGATTTCAAATATGTTATTTTAAAAAATATTCTGCGCATAGGTCAAAAATCGGTAGAAAGATGGCGTTTTTTCACGTTTTTTTAATGATTTTTGATACGGAGTTTGCTCCCTTCGTGTGTCATATATTCGCTTTAAATGGTTTTTTCTGACACCGAAAGCGATTCTGAAGGCGATTCTTCAAAGCGATTTTTGAAGTCTCTCGACTAGGTTGATATCCGCTTTTTACCTTTTCAGACAAAAGACGTGTAAAATCGAAGGAAGACATCGGTGGACACATAATAACATTGAATACTTTTTTATAGGAGAGATATTCGTTTTAGAACAATTTTTAGGTGTTCGTCTCCTGGATTCGACCTTCCGACCTTTCATACGCTGTACTTCTTCAACTAAGTATTTTCCTATTGCACTAAATTGTGCAAAAGGAAACTACGAGTTATGATGATACATTCGTATGAAGGCCGTACACTTATCTATATATTTAAATGGTCTTTATAAGTAATCACTTACATGGGTACAAGTGCAGTTTAAGCACACCCCTATATATACTGTGACATAAAGACAGAAGAGAAAAAGAAATATATTGGCTGTAAAGCACACCACTGTTCAGGAATTCCTGAACAGTGGTGTGCTTTACAGCCAATAAATTTCTTTTTCTCTTCTGTCTATATGTCACAGTATATATAGGGGTGTGCTTAAGCTGCACTTGTACCCTTACATGTTACTAGCTATACTATACATAAGTGTCGACCTTATTTTTAACGTCGACACGACTGTGTACGACGGATACTTTCTCAGCTTTATGAGTGAATGTATTTGTATGTGTACACTTATCTTTCTTTCGATTTCACCTTGCTCATCTCTTCTATTATACGGACTGTCCATATCATCTACTATTTGATTGTGATCGATTCAACGATTCATTACAGACAGAGACCTCTGTAACAGAGTAGTTGGTAATCGAGGATTTGTATAATGAGAAGCATTAGAAACTGTATTACTTGGGATAGAAACGTTATGAGTCAAGCAATAAATCAATCATATATATGCACGTGTCATTCTCTCCTCTCTTCTTTTACTAGTGTATATGATACATAGATCTTTCATTTCATAAAAAACTATCGCAATTCAAAGAAAAACTTATGTCTTCCATAGCCAATATCGAAATGGATCATGTTGGGTGTACAACAGATCGCATAGCAACAACAAATATTCGACCATGCATCTGCTTTGTGGCCATTTTGGATGATGGAAAGAAGGTGCTCCTAGAGCACCGTAGTGATATCTTTTTTCAAATCAGTTCACAGTTGACAATATCAAATTAGTCTTTCAAAATCTCGCTGAACATATTGCTGAATCTGCGCATTCATCAAAAATTACGTAAGTGTATGAAAACATCTTCAAAAACTAAATATCTCATTAGCGCAAAATCGACCTTTTATACGGAGGACAGAATCGGTTCAAATTTTTTTTCTGAATAGGTTATTATATGAATCGACGGTCAGCAAAGTATCTCTTGATTCAAATCACTTTTCGCATTTTGGCGCGAATAGTAGCGCGTTTTGAGTGGCGCCACTATTCGCGCCAAAATGTGAAAAGTGATTTGAATCAAGAGATACTTTGCTGACTGTCGATTCATATAATAACCTATTCAGAAAAAAAAATTTGAACCGATTCTGTCTTCCGTACAAAAGGTCGATTTTGCGCTGATGTAACTGTTCTAATAATTAAAATTCAATTTCTTTTTATTTGAATAATTCGCAATATCCATGTAATTAGAAATTCTTGTAAAGTAACTGGTGGTTCAAAAGATGTCTATTGATCTTTATGGTTATTAGGGTAAATTTGTTAATGGAGTTGAAGCTGAATGAAATCACTGAAGTGAAGCTGGTGGAACGTGTCGTACTTCACTCTCTTATTTCATTTCAGAAAAAACGCGCCTATATATGTTGTGGTCAAACTTGAAATTCGGTCAAATTTAAAATTTGCCCGGGCAGAACTGAAATTTCAATTTTAACCGGGCAGACTTAAAATTTTAGTTTTGACCAGAAGAAAATTTTTGGATAAACTTAAAATCCGGTCAAATTTAAAATTTAGCCAGTCAAACTTGAAATTGAAGTATCTTCTTTTCACATTACAAGAACGTAGATGAGACTCGCAAAATTTTTTTAATTACCAATGCCAGCTCGCTGGTATGGATGCGTCATTCAATTCGTTCCTTACGGCGAGGTTCCAAAGACTTTGGATTCGGGCATGACCGATAGAGAACCGGTACTAAAAATGTGATTTTTCATGATAAAACTATGCTCTTAGTTTCTACTGTCTGAGCAAATGCGATATATAACTATGTACAGTTTGGTTGATAATATCTCATTTGCTGAGACAGAATACTTATCCACTTCACCACGTAAAGGTGGCATGGCTGTTGAGGTGGTCTGATGTTTTTTTTTGGTGGGCTCATTCACAAACAATGTGAATGGACCCTTTTTTTGTCTTTTATAAAAAGAATGGACTTTACTTTCAATACAGTTATCGTTCATTTAAACTTAAATCACTTTGATTGGAAAAAAGATGCCGGACGTCATCTTCTTTGTATTACGTCAACCTATTTTAAAAGGATGTACTTGACTATCCTTCTTCTTCGTTTTCTTCTCTTTTTTTTGTGTCGAGATTATATTGTAAAGATTTTTTGGATGAATAAACAGAGAAGAGAGAGGTGAAGGACTTAATCTCTGACTGTCGATTGTGATCGATTCAACGATTCATTACAGACAGAGACCTCTGTAACAGAGTAGTTGGTAATCGAGGATTTGTACAATGAGAAGCATTAGAAACTGTATTACTTGGGATAAAAACGTCATGAGTCAGGCAATAAATCAAATCAATATTTATTTGATATATTCAGTGGTCTATATAACATTCATTAAATATGAATAAGATTTAAAATGAAAAATATTTATACAAAATAATTCAATTGAAAATTTCTACTGGTTTGAACATATTCATAAATAATCAATTTTCGGTCTATTATATCTATTCACATATGGCTTTCCTCTAGAAAAGGTCAGACGTAATGGAATTTCCACAAATTTTGATTGTACATGATGAGCAGCACATATTTCTCTTAAAACAATTGTATCTTCTGTTTCAAACCATAATGGTCGTCTAGCTATAGACAAATAACCATTTCATTGCGTTATGTTTATCAAACATAACATGAGTATTTACCATGATGAAAGAGATAAATATTACTATAACCTGATTTTTTAACTACTGCAAATAATATAAGAATTTGAGTGTTTTGTCTATATCAATGTGAAAATAACTAAGAGTATCAACAACAAGTGTAAATAGTGGATTTCGACGGGATACTAAATAATTGTGCAAAAGGAAGAAGTAAGAGAAAGAAAAATTTATCAAAACTTACAAAAATGTATCAATTCAAATAAAAACTTGTCTGTTCAATGTAGAGTCGAATACCAAAAATAGAGATTCTAGAATTTATTAGAAATTAACTCATTTGCGAATCTTGTTTACAATTCTGATCACAAGAAAAAACACTCTGTCAGAGCCTTTCATCATCATCGACATGTTAGACTTTGATATATACTTAGGACAATCCAAAGGTAGCAACGGAGGTACTTTTTTTCTTATAGAAACCTTCAGAAAATTTTCTTTTTTTCTGAGCCGAGAGCGTCTTTCGCTCTATTTTTTTATTCTATTTGATCAATATTCAACTGATATTATAATAATCAAATAGAAGATAAGAACTGTTTTTGTCGACAATAAGCTGGTAGCATTAATGGATATCTTCAAAAAAAGCAAGTGAATATTTTTCGAATAATTTTCATCAGACACTAAATAGAAAAATGTTCTTCGCATCATTGAAGAGAGGGAAGTTTCAGATGTTCGAATTTAATTATTCGAAAATTATATGTGATCTATTTGAACTTTTAAGGCGATCTTTAGCGGTTCCTGTGAAAGAAGTCAACTTTTTGCTTTTTCCATTTTTTTAATAAGAAACAACCATTCTTCCGATAGTTGGCAGATTGAATAAAAAATCTTAGGCAATCATATTTGAAAAACTTGTCATATATGATTTGCTGCGTCTTCATCTCTTCTTTCTAACCGTAAAAATCTCAGTTCACTATCTTATTTCGATCGAGAGTTATTCGGAAAATACTCATGGAGTGTTTGAACTACTAATTCGTTGTTAACAAAAACAGTTCTTATCTTCTATTTGATTATTATAATATCAGTTGAATAATGATCAAATAGCATAGAAAAATAGAGCGAAAGACGCTCTCTCTGCTCAGAAAAAAAGAAAATTTTCTCAAGGTTTCTATAAGAAAAAAGTGTCTTCTCACTATTTTGGGATTGCGCTAAGTACGTTATCATTCTGAGCAAAGCAATATGGATGAGACAGACAAACTTCTATCATCTTATAGAAGAAAGACTCTTACCAACGTTGCAGCAGCCCATGACTCAAAATTTGAAATCTAGAAAGGTAGAAACTATTGAAGAAAATTTGAAGTTTAATATGGAATAGATTTTAATGAAAAGAATGAAATTAAGAAACGATGTATTGCATAAAGATATAAACAAATTTTTATTATCAATTTTTATTTTAATTTCCTTTAAATGATAAAATTATTTGATATAAAATCTTTTCTTTGTATCGTCTACTTTTCTTTTATTAGAACAAATTCAAAAATCTTTCTCATTTTCCATCAAATAGATTGAGAAAATGTTATTTTTAAAATCAAATAATCAAAAAGCAGATTTAAGATTTATTTAAAAGGAAAATAAACTTTTGAAAAATAGTCAATGGAATTCAAAAGATTTTATCTTTCACATTTTATATATCAATACTTCAAAATTTCTTCAGCCTATCAGAAGAGAAAAATATCTTTTTTTTTGTTATTTCTTCAAATCCAAATCACTCGAAAAGTAAATCAAATGTTATTTTTATTTTTTCTTTCATTTTTATTCAAAAGAGAAACAATGAAAGATTTTATCTGAATGTCTTTGATGAATGATCACTTGAAAAAAGGAGAAAGATATACTTTGTTATTAATTGATTTCATTCACAACAAATTTATTTATTTTAGTCTTATTTTCTCTAATATTCATTACATTATGCAAAATCTCTTCCCCTTCTTTGTTTTTGTTATTATACTTATCAAATATTCAATTCTTTTTTATCCAATCATTTTTTCTTTATTAGAAACATTTGTTAATAAAATAAATTTTCCAGTTAAGTTATTTTTACCATCGATGACAAACATATTTCATAACTATCCAATGCCATACTATGTAGATAAGTTAATTGATGAAGCACTGAACTACACGAACCACCCAGACGAGCAAAAAAAACCTAGCTGACTGGCGTCCGGACTAATCCGAAGTATCCGAGTAACCCGTTCGGAGTAGTCCGCATTTGGAATTTCTTTTTAAAAGTGTCAGGACTACAAGTCTTGACGTACGACCGGATGCTGAACCATAGGAGTAGACGGGGTGTCCAAAAGTCGAGCATGACGTAACTTAATTTAAGTTAAAGAAAACCGATTCGTACTAAATAATATGATAATTGAAAATAAATTTCTTCTTCTTTTATTTGAATGATATGATCACTCCTGTTGGCAGATCTATCCAGGTTTTACCAGTCTATTCTTGTCTTATATTTTCTGCGTCGTCCAGTTGTTACAGTTAGCCAATATTAGTTTTTCTCCAAATAAGTAATATTTACGCAAAAAGTTACTTGAAAAAAGCCAGTTTAATTTTTCTGTAGGTATACAACA